GAGCAGCTCAGTATCAGTGCACTCTTCGCCTTGATGAAATGAACGGCAAGGTTTACAAAATGTTGGTATTACGAAAGCAAGTCAATAAGTTTTTAGAAAAACATAGTAAAACACATTTTTTTGATCGATTCATTTTTATTTCTCAACATAGCCTTCTTTCAGCTCGATACACTTGATCCAACGATTCTCCAACTTTTTCAAACCATCCGAATTATATGATTTGTCCAATTCTTCAAAATAAGTCTCTGTTTCGGCAATGAACTGCTCTCTGGTGGTGAATCTCTTTCCTCCGAACCATTTCTTCAGGCTTGGAAACAGGAAATAATCGCAGGGGGCTAAATCTGGCGAATATGCTGGATGGGGAAGCAATTCGTAGCGGAATTTGGCCATCGGTGCCGGGCACGTGTGAATCCGTGCATTGTCTTGATGGAAGAGCACTTTCTTCTTCGCCAAATGGGGACGTTTTGTCTTTAAAATGTTGTTGAAACGGTCCAATAAGGCTATAGTAATCGCCATTGATATCGTCGTTAACATCGACGGAAGGTAATCAATATGAATTATACCGCGTGCATCCCAAAAAACTGTGGCCATCACCTTTCCGGCCGACTTCACGGTCTTCGCCTTCTTCGGAGCTGGTTCATTCGGAAAAGTCCATTGTTTTGACTCGGGTGTGAAGTAATGGATCCATGTTTAGTCCACAGTAATGAATCGACGCAGAAATTCATCTGGATTATATTAAAACATCTCCAAATATTGTTTTGAAATCGTCACACGGTCGCGCTTATAGCCAACAGTGAATAAACGCGGTACCCACCATGCTTTTACCCGATAGCTTTTTTATACCCAATTGTTCGTGCAAAATTGAAATCACTGTGCCATGTGATATGCCTGTGGCTTCAACAAGCTCGCGCACTTTCACTCGCCGATCACTCAAAACAATATCGTGAACTTTATCGATTTCTGGCGTAACAGCCTCAATTGGACGTTCCGAACGAGGTGCATCACATGTGGATGTATGATCACGTTTAAACTTATTTACCCAATTGTACGAGGATGATAACCCGCAAATTCTTTGCTATTACAACAAAAGTAACAAAAAAAGTAACAATTATTTCTTTCTAAGTAAAGTAGACTTTCTATTTATATGCTATTATAAGCCTATATATAAGTTTTAAGTCTTAAGCCGTAAGAAATTGACTAATCACAGTCAAATACTAATTGATTATTATTGATCAATTTCTTAAGATTTAAAGCTAAGGTAATGGCTTATTGTAAAAAGATGACAGCAATGCGTTTTGAAATCAGTAATAAGTGATGAGATAACAAGTAATTTTTTTCCAAAAAACAACGGTAACGGTACGTTATTATTACAAATTACGTTGTCAATCCTGGTATTTTTGTACAGACTTTTTACTGTAAAAGTGAAAATGAGAAGATAAACACAACCTCCAATGGCCTAGTTTTCAGGATCATAATTTTGACATAAGTCATTTAAAAGGTTTTAACTATCAGTTGGACACCTTAAATAATACTAGCGGTGTTTTAATATAATAACTTTTACCGGTATTTTATAACTTTTAAACATTATGTAATCTATAAATTGAAATATGTAAATTTTCTAGCTCAAGATTGCTAAGTAAAAATTAGTAATTAGAAAGATCAAAACAACATGAGCAACGTTTATGGGTTCTTTAACAATAAAAACTAATTTATTGCAACATACATTAAGAATTAAACTAGTTTTTTTTTT